CTGCTGGCCACTGTCACAGTTTTGGGAGTCCTGGAGCAAGGTAAATATCCTTTATATAATGTAAGGTACTGTTAAGCTAATTATATAAAACTTTGTGGAACTTGGTTCCTGTATTTTGCTTGGAGTCTCCATGGAATGAGAGTTGCTCTTTTCCAACATTGTAAAATGATGTTTGGTCATTCACAGTGGGAGTGTCATGCCTGAGGAGGTTCATTATTTCATAGGGACAAAAACGATTCGCAAAGCTCAAAGCCAGCATCCTAGAAGGAAATCAAGTTTTAAACTTAAAACATTTTCAACGATGTTTTTAAAGTAAAATGTTTTCTGCTATTGAATTTTAGCAGGCAATTTGTAACAGAGTGGCTGGAGGTAACTAGAATAAATAGGTTGCCAGGTTAGTAAATATGCTGATTAAGAGTTCGGTGCACAAACATATATCATACGGGTAGAGAGAAGAGCATCATGCATGCGTGTATTTCTGCTCTGTGACTGGTATCATTATGTGTTCTTAGAGCTAAGCTGCACAGAGCAGATGATGATGAGTTGACAGCACACAGTAATTTGGAAACTAATGCAAGCCCTTTCTGGTCAGAAATAGACACAGACATCTTCAAAGAAACTCAGCGACTTCTCATAATTTAAACGAAAGGCATCTATTTAGACCCTGTAGAAAGAAGCAGTAGCATTGCCAAGTTCTGTCTAACTCTTGTGTTTAACTGTGGGTCCCTTGGGCAAAGGCCTGTCCCCCTTGGGCTTCAGGAGGGTCACAGAAGGGGACACTCCCCCTGTCTGGGGTGGGGACGGAGCCCACATCTGACTAAAATCTCCACATTTTGATGAGGGAAGTTATGTTTGTGGGGTTTTTTTAATTACTGAATTAATTCACCAGAGAGCTATTGCCCTCTGCTTACAAATGGATGTGAATCTCTGGGCAGACAGAGGAATGTTTAGCCGTCTGATAATAAATCTCTTAACATAAGCATCATTTAAAACACAAATATGCTACTTGAGGAGCAGAGTTCAAGATTTCTGAATTATCAGTAATTTCCGCTCAAACATTTTACAGAGAAATACCTACAGCTATAAATGGAAGATACTTTTGTCTTACGATTTTTTTTTTTTGTTATTAATCTGAGTGGGGATGAAAGGAGTGTTTAGAGTGCAAAGAGGAGACAAGAAGAAAACTTGAAATTGAGTTTTGGAAACATGGCCAAGCCTTTTCCATTGGGAGACCCTCAGTAGCAAATCCTTAGATAGTTCTGTCTCAAATATATTTGTTTTATGAGAGCTTCAAATATTATTTTTTTTTAAAGGTTGCAGTCTTACGTATTTTACTTTCATGCTATGCAAACCATACGTAGGTGTGAAGCCAGCAGATAAACACCAAGCATTGGCACCCTCTTATCTATGTGAAATCGGATAAAGTAGCCTAGTTTCAGGGTGTCTGCATGGGATGCCAAGGAGCAATTACAAAATACTACGTGTTTTCTTTCTCTCTAATAGTATGAAATCTATGTGCTCATGCCAACTTCATTCAGAGCTGTACAATAGCTTTTCTTGTGTATTTTGAAAGGACGTTCTGTAGGTGACTTACAGATCTGAGATTTGTTCTGAGAAGGCAGAGCACCCAACCACAGACGTGCACTATATGTACAAACACTTTTCCATCACATCATGATGTAGATGTAATTCAATGGCAGAGCTTAGTATAGTGTTGGTTAATTTTTATTTTTTCATTAATGTTCTGGAAGCCCACAGTTTCTGCATTCTTTCAAATAACTTTCCCTGGTTTAATTTACTTATGCTCAGTTTAGCAAAGCTCCGAGCTTAGTGTTCTGTAGATACGTGCTCCTGCCCCGTGTTGGATGCTGTACCAGAGAGCACAACAATGCTGCTACAGCTTCCCCCCCGCCTCTTTTTTTTATTAATGGCTTCAAAGGAAATAAAGGTTATGCAGTGTCACTGCCCTTCAGTCCCCACAGAGCTTGTTTGCCATGTGCACTCAAATGTGGCAGATACCAGCTATAATACGGTTTGACAAGTTTGTGGACATAATCAAATAGAGAATGATGGTCTGACTGATACTTCCTCTGAGGAGCAAAGTACCAGGAGAGCTCAGCCCCTACAAGCCATGTAGTAATCCACACAGGTGTTTAACCTCGAGACATGAATCACAAAAAACTAGTTTGAAAGGTTCTGCAGAGTACCTCGAGCTCTTTGAGCTTGAGCAGTGTGCTCTTTTTTCCACACCTCATTCTGGGGAGTGCTTTTGGAGGGTGATTCTGCAGCATTAACGCCTCGCCCATACACCAGTTGGGAGCACAGCGATAGCCATCCTCCACAGGGCTCTTGCTCCTCTTGGGTGGTCGTTTCATATATTATCCATCCCTAAGTGCATAGGGTCCACTGTAGGACTTGTCTCAATTATTTGCCCCTGTATGCAAGCAAGATGTTAAGCATAGAGTTGATGGAGAGATTGGCTCTGAAATTACTCTTACCCTGCTATGTTAAGCAGGGTGCTGATGGCACCAAGCAGGATGAAGACAGTTGCCCAGCACAGTCAGTCTTATGCCACAAGCCAGAGCTGTGCACAGTGCAGTCACTTTAGCACAGCCCATTTCTTGAGAGGTGGCTGGGAGGAGACCCTGAGAGCATTAAATAGTTGTGTAGGAGAAGTGTTTATCTGATCTGAAGAGGAGGTAACAGAATGGTTCATGGTTTCATCATCTCTTTCCCAGAGCTCTGCCAGCCACCTCGGAATCGCCAGCTGAGCGTGGTGCAGACCTAGCGGGCTGGTTTCACGGAGGGGAGCTGTGTTGCATCCTGCCAGCTCTCGGGGCCAGGGTGACATCCTCACCCTTGACCATGTCGACATGTTACACATGAATCAGGAGAAAAGCAAACTTGTTCCTCCCCACCTTTCTCTCCCAGCACCTCTTGTTTGGGGATGGGTCACTGCACGCACTGTGGAAAACGCTAGAACACGCAGATGTTTTCTAAAATTAATGTCTATTTAAATGAATAATATCTTGTGTAATATAGTGGTCACATAGCATCAGATTATTTATATTTCCATTTCCCTTTTCTTCTACATATGTTCTAATGCTCTTCTGCAGGCACACATGGATCTGTCTTCTCTTTAATCTTGCCACATCTGTCCCTGCTTTCCCTTCTCTATCCTGCTGCTCTGCTTTTATCTTCAATGTTAAAATAAGACAGTCCATGAGGCAGTCCTTGCAGCCTGGCTCCATGTCTCTGCTCACTGCTCTGGAAATGTTGCTACATTAGGACCTTGCTAATCTAAGTGACTTGCTTAGCAGCATGTTGCCGCTGCCACCAAAGTAATTGTTTTCGTAATGTAGTTTTCTCCTATATAAAAATTCTCATTTTCAATAAAGGCAGCAGTGTAGTAGCGCACCTAAATATAAACACTTGAAACATTAGCAGTCACCCGTGGGAGTAAGAACTTTCATCAAATAGTGAAACAGTCTGAATCTTCATGTTAACAGGTTTTCATCATTTTGAAGTGACTTTCCATGTCCCTTACAAATGTACAAAGGAGCGATGTAGCAGACACCAAGCTGTACCTCAGCCTGAACATGGCACAGGCTGATTATCATTGGCAGCGTGTCCCCTCCTCGAACTGCTTGAGCCTTGAAGCCACCCCGCAGGGGTGAAGTAGAAGCAATAACCACCCCTTTCCCCATTTCCTTCTGTTGCCGTGATTACGAGTATCTCCAATGGACTTAATCATATCCCAGTGCTGCACAATTTGGATGCTGCTCTGTGACATCGAGCCATCCTTGTATAAAAGCTTTGCCCCCGCTAGGTATAGCAGAAAGTGTTACACATCATTCCCATCAGATGGCTGAGGGTGGACTAACACTCTAAATACAAAGTGCAGGATTTAAGATGAAAAATAATTCTGTGTTGGGTATGGACTCGGTGATGTTTGAGTGTCGTTGCCAGCCTTCGTGCAGGCCTGGGGCGTGCTGGTCTGCTGGGGAGCAGCACCCAGGGCTCTGCTGTGGCACCTGAGACTATGCAAAGCTCCAGCCAGCACGTCCGTGCTGCGGCGCAGGAGCTCTGCCAGCATAACCAAATCTGAATTTAAAGTACAAATGTGAAATAAATGGCACATTTATTCCAGGTCTTCCGTGACAGCCCTGGACTATGAACCTAGACAGTATCAGCTCTTTTCCTCTAACCACTTGTTTGATTCCAAGCTAGATAAAGCTTGGTTAAATAAAACACTGCCGGACGTTACCATTCCTGTGTTGTTCTGTTTTCCAGCCTATTTTGCGATGCAGGTGATCTACGCCCGGCGGAAGTACAAGATCTCCCCTCCCAACACAACAGGTCACCCTGAATTTGAGAGGATCTTCAGAGCTCAGTAAGATTTTTGATTTTTTTGTGGTGACTCCCTCTAGATATAACTTGAGTCAAGTGTCACTACCAGGAAAGACTGAAGTCACCCTCAACTCACCTTTTCACTTATTGCTACTGATACTAGATTTTCTATCGCTCTGCATGCAGAGGTCCAAGTTTTGAATTGGAGCACTTTGGTCTGGCTGGAGTGTTTCTGTCCATCCACAATAATTCTCCTTCTGGCATTGTGAAAGGCAGCCAAATTACAAATTAGTGGACGTATGAAAGCGATGCTGAGTGTTGATGCATTAGAATAACTAACTTTAATATTAAAGTTGGCTCCAAATTGTGAAGTAGCTAAAGCTATATTAATAACAATATTTGCTGGTAAATTTTTGCCATTGAATTGAAGGAAAGGGCCTTGCTGGCAGAACCAGGTACGAGGATGTTTTAATTTTTTTTTTCCTTTTTTTAACTTGTACTATGAAAGTTGTCACTTGCAGGCCCATGCTGAGGGCTGTTTCTTTTTGCTCTGTTCCTATGGAGAGAGCAACACTGGAGCTAAACTGGAAATGTCCACAGATCCCTTCAGCTTCCAGCAAGAACCAGATCCTGCCTTTCATCTCAGTCATTCTGTTTCATAAGCAGAAAAAAGGAATTGGCCTGAGCTGGTTTGAAGGGTAGTTCGAGCATGGCATTATATCCTGAGCAAAGCAGCTGCGTTTCCTTGCCAGTGTGCAGGAAACATTTGTGGAGTGACAAAAACACTTTGGTCCTTTTGCAATGCAGTGAAAGGCCAGCCCACATGGGAGGCATCAGCCTTCGCTAGCTGGGAAGCTGCTGATGTGGCTTTTAATTAAATACTGGGCTGTGTGTTAACCGAGTCGTGCTGTGGGCTGTGACGTGCCGGGAGGCCCTCTGCTATATTCGGTGAAGAAAATGACCTTAGTGAACTCGGGTTTGAGAAGGTATTTCTTCCTTGTGTTTTTTTTCCCTCCTTTGTTCGTTTCCCTGTGGAAGAGGATACAAATGAATAAAAAAAAAAAAAAAAAAAAAAGAGGGGAAAAAAGGTATTGATTTATTACTCATGGAAACCTGGCAGCCTCCCCTTGCTGAGACTCAACCTGCATTTGCAGCATAAGGTTCTTCAGAATTTTTCCAGCTCTCATTCTGGCTCCATTCCCTGGGGCTTGGTGAATTTTTGGCCAAATTTAAGATTAAATTGCCTAGGGAAAGGTAAAATGTAGGAGAAGTTGAGAAACAAAACCACTGTCTTTAATAGCAGAGCTCCCGCTGTGCTATTGAGGCTGTCTCTTCTTGCAGAACATCTGTATTTTTGTCACTAAAAGAAAAAGGAAGGAGGAAAACCTGGCTGCAGATCTGATCACCTTCTGCTGAATTTGATCTGGGAGGGGGCTCCTTCTTGGAGCATGACTTGTGTGACACCCAAATTTGGGCTGTGCTCACCCAAGGGGAAGAGAAAGCTCCTTAAATAATAACAAGGAACCTCTTCCCATGCAGCTCTTAAGCTGTAGCTGCACTGGGTGTCTGTGATGGTGCTGTGTGTGGGGCTGAGGACGGAGCCTCTTGGGGGTCCAGCAAAGACAAATCTCCATCTCAGCCAGGGCCATGTGAATGTGGGGAAGGTGAACACTGTGCCTTGTTTGGGTGCTTTTCTTCTCTAAAATACAGATAATGGTGTCCTCGGTCACAGAGAAGGCCTTTTCTCCCCACTACAGCAACGTCTCTTACGGACCCTTTCAGTTTGCTCTGACGTGCATTTCCATCTCGCCTCACTGGCTTCAGTTCACCGATCTCTGATGTATGAGGATGCGGTTTTAATTCTCATCTCTGGTTCTCACCAGGGCAAATTGCTCAGAGTATTTCCCGATCTTCATCTCGCTCCTCTGGGTTGCTGGAATCTTCTTCCATCAAGGTAAGGGGGATGGGAGAGAACCCGAAATCACGTGCACAAACAAAAAAACCCCAATTTAAATCCCATTGCAGCTCAGGCATGTCCTCTCTGTACCTGTGAGTGTCCTACTTGGGGAAAGAAAAGCTCCCCTTTGGCAGGATGGACTGAGGAGCGCCCCAACTCCAGTGTGCACGAAGCCGCTGGTAGCAGCCGAGGCAGTCTCCTGCCCAGAGCAGAGGTTTGGTGTCACTGGCACCCTCTCCTTTCCTGGAGCCCGGCTCTTCCCCCGTGCTGCTTCTCTGGGATAAGGTCTGGCTGGCAGGAGGTGCCAGGGCAGCAGCAAGCTGAAGCAGAGCTGCAACACGATACCCAAATCGCCACGTCAGAACGAGAAACCATAACCCAAACACTTAGTCACCCGCCATCCCCCCTGTGCCACGCTGGTTGAGGGGATTTGGCTGCCGCCACAGGGAAGACGCAAGGAAGGGCCGTGGAGGGGAGCACTGCAAACCCAGGTCCCAGGGCAACCTGGGGGGGCACAGAAGTTCATCCCTCACAAAAAGGAAAGGAAGAAAACCCATTTAAACTCCCACAGCGTTTTAAAGCTGAGTCGCTCTGTCTTTAGTCCCTGTGGCCGTGCCTCATCTGCAGTGGGAAGCGGGGACATGGGTGGCCGAGCTGGGCCGCGGCTCCGGCAGCGTTCGGGGACCACCGGCCCCACAGCACTGGTCTCCCCTCTCCCTGCAGGCACGGCTGCGGCCTGCGGGCTGCTGTACCTCTACACCCGCTTCCAGTACTTCCAGGGATACACCGCGGCTGCGCAGGGACGGTCAGTACCCGCCTGGGGCTCCCCAGACCAACCCGGGGCGCTGGGTGTAGGGTGCAGCTTCCCATGGGTGCGACTGCAGGCACATGTCCACCACCTCCCCCTCCTGCCCCCCCATGCTCATGGCCATGCCACCTCCTCCCTGGCTGTCTCCAAGGCGGTTGAGGGACACCAAGCCCCGCCAGCCTGCTTCGTGCCCCGGGTTAGCTGGCGCTGTCTGGTAAGTGTTTTCTCTCCGCGCAGGTTGGGGCCACTGTACACCAGCGCCCGGGTGCTCTGGCTGCTGCTGGGGCTGGCGGTGGCCGGGCTCCTGGCACACTTTCTGCTGCCCCACTCCTCTGCGTGGATGGCAGCGCTGGCACAGCCCCTCCAGCTGCTCGGCGCCTGGTGAGAGGGGCTGCAGGTCCCCCAAACCCCACTGTTCACCCCGAGGGGAGGGAGTCGCATGGCGTGGTCAGAGACCACGCATCGCCCCAGCTCTGTGCTTACCCCTGAAGGGAGGCAGATGCTGGCACTCCTGCTCATGAAGCGCCACTCTCCGGAGGTAATTTCTCTCCTAGAAAGCAAATGCTGCCCAGCCTCTGCCCCTGCTGATGGGCTTCACTGCCAGGTTTTGTAGCAGTGCCTGCTCTAACACCCTTGGCTCTGCCTTGCAGAGCACGGATTGTCCTGTGTGCTGTTGTCACTCCTCCTTACTGCTGTAATGATTTGTGTTGAAGAATCACAACCTGGATATACAAAAAATAAATTTCTTTTCTCAGTAGAAGTAACCTGTGATTGTCAAACGTGCTAGAGGACTGGGCGTGAGAACATCCAAGGGTTAGGGGACTGCGCTGCACGGGAATAGCTGCTGCAATTAAAATGAACTTGAAAGGATGGGTGAACTTGTCTAAAACCCTATCCAAATTTGGGGAGAAAAGCCTGACTTTAATCCAAATGCTAATGTCTGTGTTTGACATTGGCTTGAATGATCTTGACTTGGCCCTCACTTCAGTTACCACCCACCCACCAGTAGGACTTTGCCCTCTGTCCGGATTTCAACCTCCACTGCAAACTTGGGGTCTGCAGGTAACAAAAGTGGGCATCAAGCAGGCAGCTCCTTGCTAAGTTGTACATGGGTATTAAAAAAAAAAAGCAACATATTTTGCAGGAAAGACAACTGTTCCACAATTGCACCCTCAGGTGTACAGCTGTCCAAGTGCTTTCTGTGCTCCCTGCCACAGAAAAACCTGACCACCCTTTCTTTTTTTAGTAACTGGTGAAGGTTCCTGTGGCGCTGGGGCAAAAAATAACCAGTCTCCCACTGGGCTGCTCTAAGCAATGCTTTGGGAGTACTGGGTATTGGTGAGCGATGAGGAACGACTCAATTTCGGGTACAGGCCCCCACAGACACCCACCCGTCCTGAGGAGGGGAACCGGCGGGCAGAGCAAGTGCCTCCCTGCTGCGAGTGACTCTCACTGCCGCACCAAAGGTTTAAATTTAGCTTTTATTACAGTGCACATTATTTAATATATTTATATATAGAGATGTACTTGAAAAATCAAATGTATCCAATAATAAAAAATACAGCACATTAAAGTAGTATAATGCATTCCAGTGTATAGCTGAAGAGACATTGGGATTTACACTAATCCCTACTATTTTTGAACTGGGCTACTTCTGCTTTTTTTTTTTTTTTCCTCCCAAAAAATTCACACCAATCAATAACTGAAACAGTTATTCAAAAAGATGGTTTCTGCACTCAATCTCAAGGCATGAAGACACTGGAGACTTCACCGTGAGTTAAGGGGCTGTGTTCAATGCTGGCAGGCACAGTGTGGCATATTTTTATTTTTTTGCTTTCCCTGCCATACTCGTAGCTCCAACCCCTTCGGATTCGTTCCTCCTCTGCTGAAGGAGGGTCAGTCTTTGCCCTCACCTAATCCTCAGCTGTAGCCAGGGCTGTTGCCTGGGCAAAGGCAAGGCAGACCTCGGTCCCTGGCCATCTCCATCCCAGCACGCCTGTGGGGTCAGCCAGCAGGACCCAGCGTGACCAAACCCCACCTCTGTCCCCAGATACAGCCAGAGATTGCCCTGAACTGGGCTGAAGGTGCTTGTCGTCCCCACGCGTGCTAAAGCTCATCCCGTCCCCAGACTGTCCCCTGTGTCAGCGTGGCCCGAGCGGCACGCAGGGCAGCCTGCACCCACGAGGGCCGAGGGGAGCAAAGCCAGCCCTCTGCACGGGATGTTCGTTTTTGCTTTTCGGTCTTCTTCTGGAAAAGACGATGTCCTGGCCCCGCAGCACGGGCTGGGGGTGGTGGTGCCAGCCTGGCAGCCGGTGTGCCAAGGCTGTCGGCATGTGCCGCCTCCCGGCAGCCGGGCCTGTGCTGTCCTTGTCCCGGGCGAGGCGCCGCGGGGAGGAGGGAGCGGGACAGGAGGGAGCAGGACGGGGACTCCACGTGTGTGTCCACCCTTCCTCACACCTGTTTCACTCTGCCTTTTTGATAAAAATCTGAAAGAAGAGAGGGCAGGGATCAGAGATTAGCTGGGGGAGGCAACGGGGAGCGCCCTGGGCCGAGGGCTGGGCAGGGCTGTCCCTCTGCTGACAAAGCCCAGCTTACCTCGCTCAGGATGATCCACACCGGGGAGTCGGTCTGGATGGACAGCCTGATGGCCTCCAGCGGCCCGAAGGACGGGTCCACCTCGCCCTCCGCGACGCCCTTGGAGAAGGAGCCTGGTGGGGAGAACAGGCGGGTGACATGGGGACGGTCTCCTGGCGTCCAGCCCCCCCCTCTGAGGGGACCAGGGCAGCCCCCTGCCCACAGCTCCCCGACACGGGATGGGCTGAAAGCCAGCAGTGTGGACATCGATACAGTGCAAATTTTTTCTTTTGTCTATTAAAAAAAAAAAAAAAAAGTCTTAGCAGGGACACCAGGGATTTACCATGCACCAGTGGGTCCCTGTAGGCTACGATCACTTGTTCTTGTCCTAAGGCAGAACAAGCACTAAAACAAGCTCAGGTGGCAGGAGACAACGTCCAGCTGCAAGTGGTGTGAGTACCAAGACACGCTCGGTAGGGAGAGGGTGAAATCGCCTGCAGCGGAGGTTTTTAACACCAGGTTCAGCAAATGGATAAGCTGAACAATTTGGTCCCAGCTCTCAGCAGAGACAGGCAAAAATGTAGGACTGAAAACTACCTGATGAGAACACCTGGTCTAAGAGGGGAGAGAGGGCAAGGGAGAGGAGGAGACAGTGACAATTAAATCCTGTTCCAACCTGGTTCCCAGCAAACAGAAATTACTCTTTGCCAAGCAAACAGCACTATGGGTCTTGATTCACTGGAAGGTGAGGACATGGGCTGTTACACCCAGAGGGCAGTTTACCACCGCACACCCTGCTGTACCTATCTGGATGTAGCCATCCGGCGTCCTGCGGTATTTGACGACTGAGCCTCCTCCCTCCTGCAAGGCTTCCTTATCCGACTGCAGGCTCTGCGGGAAGGAGAGGGGAGCGTTGTGCAAGGCCAGTGGCAGGAGCAACAAAAGCCTCAAGCAACAGCAGCAACCCTGGAGCTGCCTTCACCAGCAGCCCCTGGCACCTCATACCCCTGCCTGGCTCCCTGAGCCTCACGCCCCAAAACAAGGACATTTGCTGCTTTCATGCTGCTGCTTCCACTGCACCAGCCTGGCTCCAGTCTCTCCTCTGCAGCCATCCCACCCATGTGAGCATCCCCTGTGCAGGCAGGAACAGCTCCCACAGCGACTGCTCAGTGCAGCATCCCCGCTCCTGAGGTGGTACCACACCAGGCGTGACCCCCCCTGGCTCCCAGCCAGCACCTCTCAAAGGCACTCGAGTCTTGTAAAGATTTTCCTGATGGCTTTAAGTAGTTCCCTTCTCTCGAACCTCTTTTGCTTCCCACTCCACCCCCGTCTCAATTCTCAATAAAACACTTACGTCAAATGGCAAAACCTCCACAGTCGTATTGAAGAGTTTGTCTTCTGGGTGCTCGATGTTCCCGCTGCGGAAGAAGAACCTGTGACAGAGACCAAAGCCATGGAAACCCATGCTGAGCGAGGGGGGACATGATGGCTTTCACCCCAGCTGAACCATCAAACAGCTCAACCTAACAGGCACCTTAAAAAGCCCACAGGCACATGGGTTGGGAGACCACCTGTGCCAGATGAGCTACATCATGGATTGCTCACAAGCACAAGAAAGCAAAGGGCTCTGGCAAATGTGGCCCCACCAAAAAAGGGTCAAATTATCCTCCCCCTGGAAGAGCACTGCTCCCTCCTCCTGGGCAGCCAAGCAGGAGTTGGGCAAGAAATTCAACGTGAGCCAGAAGAGCAAAAGGGAAGTGTTTCTGCGTGCCCCAAGGTGTCCCCACATCTCCCCCTGCCATCCCCCACCAAGCACTGGCCTTTCGATGCGGAGTGGCTTGAAGAATCTGAATCTGATGAAGTCCCCAGCAGTGGGAGTGAAGGCCCAGAAGAAGTCCTCCCGCAGGTAAGCTTTCTCCAAGGTGAAGTGCTGGTAGGTTTTCAGGCTGGTGCTCACCTCCGCAGGAGGGTTGACGTGCTCTTTCCGCAGGGCCTGCTTGCCAAAATCCTTGTCCTTGGGGGGTGCAAAGTAAAAGGGCAGAAAATGGTTATAAGCTGCTCTTGATTGTGAGGAACAGGGGTCCCAGCAACAAGGCACTGCAAATTAAAAGCTCTTGATGTGCATGGTGAAGAAGGATGAGGATTGGAAGTGATCTGGGGAAGGCACCAGACTGGGCAGTGTGTGGCTGGATCCCAGGAGGACACAACTTCAGGAGAGGCAGCACAGAGAAGCACCACTGCTCTGCGCTCTGACCCAGCACCAAAGAGCCTTTCATTGTCCAAGCATCCCTAAACACACGTGCCTGCAAACAGTCCTTACACCTCAGAAGAAGGTGGCTGGGAGGCTGATGATACCATAAAATGACTGGATTACACAGCCCGACAGGTGCTGCACTGTGATACAAACTGGATTACACCATCCATTTACCTGGGGATCGGACAGGCACAGGACTGAGCACTGCCCAGGGATGTGTCTGTATGTGTCCTGCACATACAGCTTTGGGAAGCTTCATTTTGTTGATGTTTAAACGCACAGAAATAATTTATGATTGTACACAGCAAGCTCTAGTTTGCCTATCAGCAAATCCCAGGAAGGAAGAATGGGTGGGAAGGAAGTCAGACCAACCCAGGAGTCATCTCTCTTTTCAATAAATGCTTCAAAGTCACTTTGCCCAGACCATGGCTCAACACTCAGGATGGGCAGCCAGGACCAGTACCAAGGCTTAAAAGCTTGCAGTGACTCTTGGTACATGTCATTCTGAGAAATAGAATCTCATGAGCAGACTGTAATTCAGAATAAAACACAACCACTGTGCAGAAATCCAGCTGCCCCTGTCCCACCAGTTGCTGTCACTGATGTTCCCACCCCAAAAGCAGCCAGTCCTGGGGGGCCTGCAGGCCAGGCCTGGCAGAAAGATCATCTGTGGCTTGGACAGGCAGGGAGTACCCACCTTCAGCTTCTGTATCTTCCCAGCCAAGGAGGAGTGGGTTCCCACATGCTGGAAGAGTGAGGGCTTGAAGCGGATCCTCAGGTTTGCCTTCTGCCTGTCGCAGTGCTTCTGAAACGAGACAATCCCGCAGAGCCCCATGGTTAAACCTCTGCGGTCCACTGCGACCTGCAAGAGGGATGGACAAGGGCACGAGGAGTGATAAACATCCCCGCCCCTCCACCTCTATGCCCTTCTGTGTTATTTTGGCTTTAATTTGGCAAGAGGGCTTTTAACCACAATCTGGAGGAACCTGATGGTGACTCCTGGC